TATGTGATAGCTAGATAGAGACAGAGAGGGAGAGGAGAAGGAACTCCATGGGGAGCAGTCACTCTGCGATCCCCTCTCCTCCACCTCTCCCTCCTTTTGGGATTTTGGGCATGCATGCACACATGCCTTCCATGCTTCGCAAGTAGCTGGGTCTGAGATTTGAACCATGGGATCAACCATGTGAGATCTAGCCACCTTAACCACCAGACCACAGGGGTCATACTTTCTTTATATCATATCCATTCCCGAGTTGGAGGAGGTCGAGCACTTTACAGGAGTGCCGAGGATTCTGGAGGAGTGTTATTTCCCTACCCGGCGTGAGTTCTAAGCCACCGGGTCCGGGAGGCGAACCGCGGTTGACTACGTGGGAGTCCAGCGACATAGCCATTACACTAACTGCCGGTTCCCAAGCACAGTTACTCTTGTAACCAGAAGACCGTTCTCAAGACAACTCTCAAGTGTGTTCTCTGATCCCACCTCTGTAAATGTAAGACTAGGAAAAGCAGAATGGACGCCATTGAGATTGTTGTGTATACGAATAGGTGAGTGTTCTGGAGCTCAGTTTCTGCTTCCCAGTACAGAACCAGGCTCCGGAACCAGGACATTTCCAGCCAGTGCTAGAAGGTGTTAACGGTTCTAGACAGTTCCTGGGCAAGGTTGGAGCACCTGTTTTGGCAAGGACTGAAAAATCTGAGCCACTACCCCAGTTCACAGAATATCCTTTTCAAATGGAAATAGACAGAAACACAGAACACCTTGGTAGGGGAAAAGAGTTCTTACAACCAGGTCAGTAGCTAGAGTGAAATTGCAGCCTGGGTCCCTCATTCCGAGACCTTCAGATGTTGCCAGGACACTGTGCTCGCTGGCTGGGGCCACGAGGGGGCCACCCATCAACTTAAAGGCTGGATGCAGTGGTACGTCCTGTAATCCCAGCAACTTGGGAGGATGAGGCAGGAGGATTGTGAGCTCAAGGCTGGCCGGGCAAAATAGTAGGACCTTCTGTTAAACAGCTGGGCATGGTGGCTTGTGACTATAGTCCCGGGTAGTAGGAGGCTGAGATAGGAAGATCCTGATGGAGAGAATTGGTCTTAAAAAATATGAAACCAAACAATGATGGAAAGAGGGCGTGAGTTACACTCTGTAGTCAGGGCTAGAGCAACTGCCCTTCGACCTTACAAGAAGGAGAGAAAGAGAGAGAGAGAGAGAGAATTGAGGGAAACAAACAACATTTGTTCCTTTGAGATGGGATGGAAAGGATCCAGGTTCTTACCGTCACCTTTTAAAATATAAAACTTTCATAACCTAGGGTGTCTGCAAGGTCTGGCCTTCATCCCTTCTGAAATATACAAGATGTGCCTGTGAAAAGAGTTTTTCCTAGCACCTTGGGAATGTAACTGAGGGATTTTGTTCAGGCTATAATGATTGGGCCCTCTTGAAGAGACAAGAGGTCTTACTACCTTTTTGGATAGGAGCAAGTCATTTAAACAAATTGAATCCTTTGATATTTGAAGAGTGAAATGATGTAGGGGAAGCAAAAGCAAACTTTTCTTAACCTTATGTCATATACGGAATCTATATATTGTATATATTCCCTAGCTTTAAGCCATATAAATTCTCTTTACACCATATATTCTTTATCTTTGTATCATATGTACACTATCTTTATTTACATAGTCTCTATTATATACATCTGCTGTTTCTATTTCTATATCATTCTCTCTCTCTTTTATTTTTTTTGGTTAGATGGTGTATGTGATAGCTAGATAGAGACAGAGAGGGAGAGGAGAAGGAACTCCATGGGGAGCAGTCACTCTGCGATCCCCTCTTCCACCTCTCCCTCCTTTTGGGATTTTGGGCATGCATGCACACATGCCTTCCATGCTTCGCAAGTAGCTGGGTCTGAGATTTGAACCATGGGATCAACCATGTGAGATCTAGCCACCTTAACCACCAGACCACAGGGGTCATACTTTCTTTATATCATATCCATTCCCGAGTTGGAGGAGGTCGAGCACTTTACAGGAGTGCCGAGGATTCTGGAGGAGTGTTATTTCCCTA